ATTGTGAGAATTATCTAAGTTAAAATCCTAGAATTCCAAATTCCTTTGCAAATCCTATAGATTTAAACCAGCCTTAATGCACAAGTTCGATATGTTCACAAAGCAGCTAAACCAAATTCCTTTGCGAATAGTTACTTTGCTCAACTCAGGTTCTTTCCAGTTATTCAATTACACTTCCGTGTCAATCAATTAACCTAAGATCTAAGTTCTAGGTGATCAGTCTAGAATTAGCTTTAAAAACAACCTAAGATGAAGAACAAATAGATATGAACCCTAACTAGCAAGTTAATCAAACATTCAAAGAAAACCCTAATTAACCCTAAACCTAACAGGTGATCTACTCAGACATGGTTATTGAAACAACAAACATGATGAATAGAAAGCAATAGATTAAATCGAAATAGATAAAGGGGTTCGAAATATTCTCTCTAAACGAACAGAGTACAGACTTGTCTCCCCAAGCTCAGAAATCGCAAAAGCCGAAAGCTCAGAGTATCTCTCTCTCAAAAATCTAAGGTAATCGTAAAAAGGGAATAAAAATCCTATATATATCTCTAAGACACGTCTTGGGCTTCCTTGAAAACGTTTGGGCCCAACTCCTTCTTCAAATAGGAAACAAAATCGCCTTTTCCTTATTTCTCTGACAAGTGTCAGCGCGTCACTCTCCATGGTGTCGAGCGTCACTAAAGCACAAAATCCATTCTTGACGAATTTGATCCTGATTAAGCTTCAAAGTGCTCCAAAGTCTCCAGTTAAGCTCCAAACGTACCTATGACCTGAAAAGACTCCAAAAGACTCGAAAGACACTAAAAAGACTCTATAAATAAGACATATACCATGGTTAAAAACCATAAAAACCATGATATATCAATAACGCCTATTCTAATAGCCTACATAACTATTCTATATGAATTGTTCACCCCATTTTTCAAATTGCGTAGTTATCTACGTGAATTAAATTGTTTTATATAACTATTATTAGTTGTCTACATTTTTGTCAAATCTCTGTGTAATTATTTGTCTATTAATAGTTGTCTACTTTTCGTTTAGTTTTCAGAATGACCAACATTCCTCTAGCTACAGACGCATCCCCTATTGAACCTCTCTGTGTATCGGTGAATCATGTGCTTCTAAATTTATTGTGGTCAACTTAGATGTTAGTTATTTTTCTATAAATAGTTGTCTACTTTATCTTTGTTCAAGTCGCTTAATAGTTGTCTACTTTATCTTTGTTTTCTACTAATATTTGTCTTATATTTGTCTACTAATAGTTGTCTACTTTATTAGTATATACAGAATGGCAAACAATGTATTTCTCCAGCTTCGCATGTATTGATCGATGTCTTTGTAAGAGTAGGGAGAGAATCTGCGGACTTCAGCTACTATTTTTCTATTAAAGTTTGTCTACTTTATATTTGTTCAGGTTGCTTAATAGTTGTCTAAATTATCTTTGTTGTCTACTAATATTTGTCTTATATTTGTCTAGTAATAGTTGTCTACTTTATTAATATATACAGATGGCAAACAATGTATTTCTCCAGCTTTGGATGTATTGATCGATGTCTTTGTAAGAGTAGAGAGAGAATCTGCGGACTTCAGCTACTATTTTTCTATTAATAGTTGTCTACTTTATCTTTGTTCAGGTTGCTTAATAGTTGACTACTTTATCTTTGTTGTCTACTAATAGTTGTCTTATATTTGTCTACTAATAGTTGTCTAATTTATTAATATATACACAATGGCAAACAATGTATTTCTCCAGCTTCGGATGTATTGATCAATGTCTTTGTAAGAGTAGAGAGAGAATCTGTAGACTTCAGCTGCTAGACCGTATATTCCTCGAATACGGTTGGAAACACCAGTTGAAGTGCTGTGAGCATTGCTACCTTTTCACTCATTACCAAGTTGCGAGGAATGTTCTCGTGCCTTAGGTATCTACCATAGTAAACTACCTATGTATAGATGACTATGTTATGTACTCTCGTTATGAATCTTGTAGTCAACTACTATTTAATTATGAACATCTCGCGTTGCATTTGTAGCGTACTACTTTATCTGTGTATTAATTGTTATACACTTTTTAATTGTAGTTGAAATTTTTGTATCTGATACTTAGTACTACTTGCTATTAAGATGCCTAGCGTTATGTTCTCGGATTTCAAATAAATAAAAAAATCGACAACAAAATAAAAAAGTCAGAAATACCCCTATTCTGCTGTTCATAATAGCCTTGCGAAGAAACACTAACATAACAGATCCGAATTCAGAGTCTGTTAAAGATCAGGTTTGTAATTGTATAAATATAGTCAAACATTTTATAGTCACCTTTTTTGTATTCATCTACTGCAACTGTTCAGGCAACCGAGGATATTGCAGACTTCTCAGATCTGAATTCCAAGTCTGCTAAGTTCAAGTTCGTATTCATCTATTAATAGTCATATATTTTATAATAGCTTTTTTTATTCCTCTAGTGATATTGTTCATGCAACCAAGAATATGTTAGATTTTCCAGATCCAAATTCTGAATTCGCTAAAGTTCAGGTTCGTATACATCTAATAGTAGCTATCTATTTTATAATCATTTTTTATTAGTTTCATGATACTGTTCACGCAACCGAAGATATGTCAGACCTCCCAGATTCGAATTTCAAATCCGCTAACGACCAAGTTTGTATTTATCTATTTGTAGCTGTCTATTTTGTAAATGATTATTTTGATTTATATACTGTTACTGTTTAGACTACCGACGATAATGCAGGTGCAGACATTCAGACCCGAATTATGAGTTAGATAAAAGACAGGTTTGTATCCATCTATTAATAGTTGTCTATGTAATTTATATATGTAATCGCATATGTCTTCTGTTTATTTTGACTGTTATAATGCTGGCCGAATCGATCCAAATACCGAAGAAGCTCGGGAACAGGTACGTAATCGACTTTTAATATCCGTCTATTTATGTATAAATTGTAGACACTACTATCATTCCAAAGTCGATTTTTAATTATTTTTATTATCTTAAAAATAGGCACTGCTATTGTTCTAAAGTTGATGGTAGCGTCTTAAACTTTACAAAAAGGATATGTCATTTTCGTGTCAGAGATAAAGCAGTGTTGGAGATAAAGGAGCAAGGGGTTTATGGTATTTTCCCCACCCAAAAAGCAGTTGACTGTTGCTATTTTGTTAATTGACCGATTTTAGACGCGATTTCTTCAATTGTCAGACAAAAACCTATTATTCTTGCAAATCACCCTTAAATAAAATATTATTTAACCAATGGATCTGAGTATACCACGAAACGGTATTCTTTTGCAAGTATTTGACCCATTTCCCAGTTTTTAACAAGTACTCGATCCATTTCTTAGTTTAGTGTTATGATCAAAATAAATCATAGTTAAACATGATTTAATTCGGGTAATACAGTTGACGTTTAAAAAAAAACATGGAAGAAATATAAGAAGAAGAATAAATCCGCTCCCAATTCCAGAACCTTTTTTCAGTTTTTTCTGGTTGTAAACTCCAATCCATCTTTTTTACGACAAAGCTCATTTGTATTGATAATATTACTAAGACTCAAACAGACTATAGACTATTTAAAGTAGTTACAAACATGAGACAACAATAATCTATGTGCTCTTGCGGTACGAGAAAATCTTGCGTGCTCTTTCGTTACGAGACTACTTAAAGTAGTTACAAATATATCTTTTCACTTCAGCTATTGTACCATGTAGTCCCATATACCAGTTTATAGTAATCCGTTTTTTACTGAAAAAAAGATATAAAAGATGACTTCAATTATTTAACCAAAAAAAAAAGATGACTTCAAGAAGGACAATTAGCCTCAAATTCATTCATATTATATTCACTAATTAAATAAGTCAGCAACAAAAACAACCATGCTCCATTTGTATCAAGAAATTAATCAATAAAAAATGATCTATGACTCCTTTTAAAGAAATGACATCTTTGGTCTACATTTTTCCTGGTTCGGTATATGACATCTTTCTTGTCAAGACTGGATTTGATGATACTACCTCGAGGTCTACTTTTACTGAATTTAATCAAATAGTTTATTGAAAAACTAAGTAGCTATAACAGTTTACTAGAAAAACTATTGGTCTAGTAAAATCGTCTTTATACGTACATGTCGTATCGTCTCATATGGATGTGATAATGGATCCTTTTGCGGGTACATGCATATGCACAGAGCACTTGTCAATTATACGTTGTTAATGCTTGCAACTTGAAGAGCTAAATTGTTTGCGTTATATATGTTGGTGGTACGCTCTGCTCCCCGGTTTGAACCGGTTAAAGACTGAGACCGGCCCAATTGATCCCAGTTTATGATGGTTTTAGCCGAAATGGGCTTGGCCTGACAGTGCGGTCCATCGGAGAGAAGCCCAGCGACGAGAAGCAGTGAGAGCTGAGCAAGAAGCCCTAGATCGTCTCCTCGTTTGTGTACTATAAATAGTAGAAATGTTACTGTAGAAGGGATCTTTCGGACCCGGAGAATAGAGACCTGAATATTGTATCAAGTTCGTCGAGAATCCTCCGAACTGAACGAACTGTAATTAAGAGCTTAATAAAATCGAACCAACTTAATATCTTTCGAACTCAAATTACCGGACCGACCTCGAATGGTTGAATACTGTAATCAACAATATATATATATATATATACTTTTGAATATATTTCTCTCCACATAATTTAGAATAGTAGATTGCAATATCTATTTAATTTTCCAGTCAAATATATAATTAAATTCACTCAAGAAATAAAAAAAAAGAATGAAATTAGAGATGGGAAATCATGGACATTAGATTTGAAGATGTCTCAAGTTAACAAATATATAACAAATAGAGCTGCAGATAGAGTTTAAGAGAGAAAAAAAAATTAAAAGGTAAAAATGAGATTATTTTGGGTTGTGAAAGGCCCGCCCAATTGAAGCCCAGAAACGAGGAGAATCCCAGATATATATATATATATATATATATATATATAAAAAAGAAATCGCGTGGACAAACCTTAATCGACGAAAAGCATCAGCGTCTTCTCGATTCCGGCGAAATTTTGGAACGAGGAGGAGACGATGGTGCTCGTAGCAGGCGAAATTCGGAACCAGGAGGAGACGATGGCACACGTGGCAGTTGATATGGCAGCGAGGAAGGCTGAATATTATCGGGCATTGGAGAAAGCCAGGGTAATATTCTTTCATGAATCTACACTGTGTTTTGTTTGTTTGGTTTTTGATAAGAGATTATTGAGATGATTCACATGTCTTTCCTTGTCACAATCCTCTTTCTTCGCTTCTTAGGGTTCCCGTTTCATAAGAAGAGTCCATATTTGTGGACTGATACAAAGAATTTGTAATGATAAGAAATCTCCTTGTCCTGGCTTAGTCCTCCTTTATGCTAGGTTGGGCCTTCATCGATACAATTTGCTTCAGGTATACACTAATATACTCTGCTCTCTAATTGGTTTCTTTCTTCCATCTATATGTGTATATGTTGAACCGATTTCTTTCTTTTCTTTGATCAAATTAGGGCAAAAACTTAGAGCTCAGAAGCGTCAAGAAATACACCCAGACCACTGGCACTGCTGCTTACACTTACCACATAACTATGGAAGCCATGGATCCAGCTATCGATTCGCTTCAAACTTTTGAGACTAAAGTTTATGAAAACACTCCTGGCGAATTGGATTTGTCGTGCAGAATTGCTAGACCTCTAGGTAAAATATTTACGCAACAACAAGTCCTCTTGCTTAATAATACATTCTCACTACTTAAAATTTGTTGCTTGTATATATATAGGGGAACCCAAGGAAAACCAAATAAAAAAAAATATGCTGAAAAAACCCGTTGTTATTACCATGCCTGAGTGGCCGCCACAGAATCCTTTTGAAAACTGTTACGTGGTAAAGATTAAGACTTTTGCCTTGATATTTTTTTGCTTTTTTTGCTCATGATCTCAAATATAATATTACAGTGATGATATTATATTTTTGTTTGCAGCTGAATGAGTCAGAGCTAGAGCTGGAAGAAAATCACTGGGTTCGTCTCTACCTGGAACTTGCAGTTGCCAAGCCCAATAGGAATACGAATCCAGATGTGTCCAACTTGAAGATTGTCAAAGTGGCTATAGATACTAGTACCAAAGATGCGGATGATGCTGAGGAACTCAACGGCAAAAATGTTGCAGTTGTCTACATACATTACAAGGACTCGTGCGAGGCTCGAGTTGGCAAGGATGTTGATCGCGTAGCTATAGTCAGAAGAGCTTTCTGTGAGCGGTTTGATTGCTTCAGTCTCGTGGGTCAGACTCTGAGTTCAGATATTATACCAAAAAAGGGTAAGAAGAAGAAGCGCCGTGTGCAGCTTCTTCCGTGTAGCCTGCGTCTCAAACCGTGGCTGTTATCCAGTCCTAGGCGCCTCAAGGCATACAAATACACTGGCGTTGGCTTGTCTCGTTGTCTGCTCAAGGCAAGATCCACCATCGAATATGTGGATTAGATAATAATAATTGACCACTGTCTACGTTATTTCGATTATTTAGGGATTGTTTAATTTGTACTCTTCCGTTTTCCATTTCATTTTGTGTTCATCTGATACATCTATGATCTCTGAAACAAAGAAGTGGGATTGTGTGCTTAATATTTTTTCGACCCTCTGCGGAGCTGCATTGCTATTTTCTTCTTCCTTTTTTTGGTTTGAAAACTACAAATCTTATCTTTATTATTTCAGAGAGTAATTTTCGAATTGTTGTTTCCTCTTGTGACAAGTCATTTTCTCGATTCGATCTCAATTTGTGTTATTTGTCTTAGTGTTGTTCTCGTTTGAAGCTTAAGGATTGATCTGTAAAAGTTGGATTGAGAAGAGCGAGTGCGATGTGAAGGGTTTATTGCCTGATTGAAACTCTTATGTTCCAGACGAGGAAAGGAGAGGTGAATCGGTTAATTTGCTCCAATTTCGTGAATTCTCTATCGATACTTTAAAGAGCGCTGCTTCAGGATTTTCAGAAGGGAATATGATTCTCGTCAGTTTTTGGTAAGCACATCTCGTTGATTATATGGTGAACCTTCTTGTGCTAAGTCTATAACCATTTATCTAGATGCAAGCAGATAATATTCTGGATTATTTGTATTCTTTCACACCTATTTGTGTTTGCTAAAATCTAAACAACTTGTAATAAGAAATTCTGACCTCTTCGGCTTTAATCTGTGAGACTAGGAAGAAGCCAAAGCTGTTGGTCAATAGTGGTTAAGAGTCTCTTAGGTCTCTGATGTGCATTGAACTCCATTGACACTTGTTTTTTTTTAAAAAAAAAAACATATATGAACATAGGAGACATAACATGTACGGTTTAGCCTGTCTTATTCGTTGGAAGAAAGCTTTTTATTACCAAATTTGGTTTTATGTAAATTTTTCCTTTCTACATTCACTAAGTGAAGTTACTCATTTTCTGCTTATCCACTTCTTCAGAGGAAACGTTCGATCACCTTGGTCACTGAGGAGAAGAAAGCATGCTCTTCAACCTAAACAGTGGAATGATTTTTGTACAGAGGAAAGGCGACTCAGTGATGGAGGTGTCAGATTTCTGAAGAAATTAAGTTCGCAGTGATGGAGGTATCTTTCTAAATAAGAAAATTATATCTGCTTCAATCAGTGTTGGTGCATTTTGATAGCCTTCTGACACACTGATTTTAACCAAAAAAGTTTTCATTATGTGTTAATGATTAATTCCTATCTTTGTTTTCAGGGTGTGGATCCAAGCATCAGACCAGAAGTTTGGCCGTTCCTTCATCTAGTGTAAGAATTTAGCATCTTCCACATTGTTCCATCTTTTACGTATCTAATGCTGAAGTAGGATTCGACCCAATTATAGTTTTCGGCTACCATGGGGATTTTTCTGTTCGGCCTTAGGTTTGTTTACTCATGATGTTCTAAATGTTGACTTGTAAATTTTTCTCTGGGGTTGGTTATGGATGTTATATAGGTTTAAGGTAGTAGAAACAGCATAGCAGTAAATTATTCATTAAATATTTTAAATAGGAGTGAGGAGATTCAAATGGGAGAGTCTCAGAGTCTTATAAGACTAGCTTCTCCGTACCCAAAATTCCAACGGCCATCAAGCTACATTCATTAATACTTTTGATAATGAACCCAATCCCAATGTAAGTTATTAATACTCTTTATCATCTGGCACGTTGTAACCTTATCCTACTTACTTGTCACAGGCAGGTATGACTTAAAAAGCACCAAAGAAGAAAGAGAATCTATCAGATAGCTGAAACAGTTGGTTCGCTTATACTTGTGGAGAATTTCATAGCTTCTCAACTTTCTTCCAATATTAAGTTTCCCCTTTTTTCTATGTTCCCGTTAGATGGCAGCTGGTTAGTGACTTGTTCAATGTGTCCATAAGACTAGGAGTAAGAGCAGTAGTTTGGGAACTCCTATCACTTAGATTTTGTGTAAGTTCTTTAGTGGCTCCTTATATATGTATACGTAAATCCTGCAGGAAGGAATATGAAAACTTGAAGAGACAGTGTCGCGAGATTCATGATCGCAATGAAAATGGCTGTGACTCAAAGCATACAGCTCAGAGCAGCAACACCGAAGACAGTCAGGTTCTTGATTCCCATCATATTGAACAAGTCCATAGTTCCACAAGATCCATCCCAATAGAAGAATCAGAGAAGTTGAATCACGAATCGGTTCTGCAGGATGGGGACTGTGAAAAGAGTGATGTGACCACTGAAGATACTGCTGCTAATGACTCAGACTCAAACCAACTCTGAAGAAACTGAGAATTCACCGCTTCTGGCGAACGAAGAAGCAGAAAGCCACCACAATTCCGTTAACCAAGAAAAGGACAATCCGTCTCTATCGAAGCCAAAAACTCAGGTAGATGAGGATTTCTTATTAGCATTCTGGTGCTGTGTTGGGTTCATGAGAAAAGCACCGAGGTTGGAATCAGGCGACAGCTCTCAATGGTGTCGAAAATCATAAAATTCAAAGACATTCGCTTGTACCGACACTTGGAGAACCTCGAAGCAGAAGACTACATCTTTGTGAACCGGATGGTGGTGGTTTCTGTTCAGACGAGAACTAACCTTTGAGAAGACGCTTTGTCTTTGGGAGGTAATGTGAGCGGATTAGGCAGCCATACTGACCGGGATTGCAAAGGCGACTTGAGCGTGTTGCAGAGGAGAAAGACGATCATAGAGAAATACAGTGGGATGGATGAGATCATGAAGGAATGTAATAGCATGGCTGGTCGTCTTGATGTTTGGAAACTTCTTGACGATGCTCATGACTTGGTCGTCAATCTTCACGACAAGATCTGATCCGAGTGTGACTTTAATCTCACTCTTAAGTGCCTCTTATCACTTTACTTTTGTTAGTGTTCAATTGTTATTGTCACTTAAAATGTGAAACAAAATGGTCCTAAAACGCTTGTAAACGTCTTCATCGATGTCTTGGAGCTTATTGTTAATTCTAAGAGATTTCACCTAAAATTGATGGGAATAAGTAGTAGAAGACTTTGTTTCTCAGACCCGCTAAATTAAAACAGAGGGTTTGACTTTATTTAGTTTCAGAAGCCTGTAATTGAAACAGATTAAACAATTCGGGTCTAAAGTCAGACATAAGCAGAGTGAGTACATTTGCAGTGATAGTCTAGTAGCATTCTTTGATTTAATTGGAGCTCACTTTACGCTTAAGATCATAAGCTCACAGGGAATTATAATACTACTACTCTTCTATTAGTAGACCTCATGAGTCTTTTTGTTGCTACTAAAATAGATCCATTTGTCTGGTGTTTGACACCACTTAATCTCTCACCCTTTACCTAAAGATCCATCAAAACCAAACAAAAACACACAAAGTAGAAGAAAATAGATTTGTCATTCTTTATCCTCAACCTCCTCCTGGGTCGCTGATTCTCCACATGCACCACCGACTTGTCCACTCAAAATACTGCCCTGAACAGCAGCACCATAAGCAACAGCCTCGTCCGGGTTCACACCCTTGATCGGCTCTTTCCCTTCAAAGAAATCTTTCAACAGCTGCTGAACCTTTGGGATCTTAGTGCTTCCACCAACAAGGACAATCTCGTCGATCTGGATCTTCTGTAGACCAGCATCATCCATGGCCTTCTTCACGGGTCCCATCGTCTTCCTGAACAAGTCATTGTTCAACTCCTCGAAACGAGCTCTGGTGAGTGGCTCAGAGAAATCAGCACCATCAAAGAGGGACTCAATCTCTACACGGACTTGGAGCTGGCTACTAAGAGCTCTCTTGGCCCTCTCACATTCCCTGCGAAGCTTACCTAGAGCCTTGTTATCCTTGCTGATGTCCTTTTGGTGTTTCTTCTTGATCAACTTGATAAAGTAGTCCATGATCTTGTGGTCAAAGTCCTCACCTGCCCATGATCACAAAGACAGAGGGTTGGTTAGCACCAACATCCATATGAATCTCAAACATGCATCTGTGGTCTTAGGGTACGTTACCTCCCAAGCGAGTGTCACCATTTGTGGAGAGAACCTCGAACACTCCGTTGTCAATGGTCAAGACACTGACATCAAAGGTGGTACCACCAAGGTCAAATACAAGGATGATCTTCTCACCAACCTTCTTATCAAGACCGTAGGCAATAGCAGCAGCAATGGGTTCCTTGATGATTCTAGCAACATTTAGACCAGCAATAACACCAGCATTCTTTATCGCCTGCCTCTGGTCATCGTTGAAGTAAGCTGCACATAATAACAGCCAGATAAAGAATCAACAAACTGGATCCATATATACCTCTTGGAGGTATTAACGAAGCAGACTTGACAAGCTAACCTGGAACAGTGACAACAGCGTCCGTGATCTTCTTTCCAAGATAAGCTTCAGCTGTCTCCTTCATCTTAATCAGAATCATGGCACTGATCTCCTCAGGAGAGAAAACCTTGGTCTCACCAGCCTTGATCTTAACTTGAATGTATGGCTTGCCATCCTTGTTCACAATCTGGTAAGGCACAAGCTTCCTGTCCTTTTGCACTTGTTTGTCCTCGAATCTAGCAGAACCAAACAAAAATATGACAATAATTTAAAGCGACAGTCCATATGCAAGGTGAAACAAAAGAAGTAGAAAAAAAGAGAGGATGGAGTTACTTTCGGCCGATCAGTCTCTTGACGTCGAAAATGGTTCTCTCTGGATTAACAGCCGCCTGGTTCTTAGCAGCCTCACCAATGAGGCTCTCGGAGTCAGTGAAACCAACCCACGAAGGTGTAATACGGTTTCCTTGGTCATTGGCTATGATTTCAACATGGTCATTCTTGTATACACCAACACATGAGTAGGCGGTTCCAAGATCTATCCCTATAAGTGTTCCAAACTTGGTGGCATCTTCTTTAGCAGTTTCACCTTTGTCAGTTATGTCTTGCTTGTAAAGTCGGTGATCCTTGCATTTGGCGAACTCTTTGGGAGTCATCCTTCTTTGTCCATGAGACGGAGACGGACTAGTTTCAGAATCTGTATCTGGGACCTGATTATATACATTCAAAAAAAAAAAAAAAAGCATTAATTAGTTTTGCAAGCAAAATTGAAATTAAGATAGAATTAAAACCCACGAAGGCACGAACCTTAAACTTTAGGTTTCTCCTTGCTCGGTTTGGTTTTTCTTTGAATTGCAGACCGAGGGGACCTGTTTCCATTCCTATCGAGAAGAACTCAGTGAGTTGATGCTGGGGCATTTCAGGGCACGTATTTCCTGAGTAGGAAGCTTTTGTTCGCGTAGCCCCAACTACGATGACCATTACTTCTAAAGAAACATAGATGTAACCGTCATACGCAACATCTTCTACACCGTTACTAGATTTGCACCTACACCGTTTTTCTTTGAATTTTTGAAGTGTCCTTCTTCCCCACAAATCCAACAGCTTTTCTTTCCCTTGGTTTTAGATTTCTTGTTCTGTTTAGAACCTTTCTCTTTCTGTTCTCCTTTGCTTTTCTGTCCTCCCTTATCCTTGACATAAAGACTTTCTGCTTGAGCTTTTGAACCTTTTGAGTTCGATCCAAACTCTAGTTCCTTTGAGTATATGGCGGCAACAACCTCATCAAGTGTGACTGTGGTTCTTCCTGCTCCATATTTCAGTGTGTCTCGCAGAGAATCAAACTGTCTTGGGAGAGACATTAACAAAAGGATCGCTTGATCTTCATCTGAAACCTCCACATCAGCGTTCTCCAGATCTGCAATAAGACGAAGGAAGTCATCTATATTGTTCTCAACTGATGAGCCTTCCGACATCTTGTAGCTGTACAGTTTTTGCTTCAGATAGATTCTGTTAGGTAGAGTCTTTTCTTGATAAAGCTTGTCTAAAGCTTGTATCATTGCAGCGGCTGTATCATTTTTCCTAATCTTCCTCAAAACTCTATCTGTAACACTCAAAACAATGGCACTCCGTGCTTTCTTCCTCTTCTCATCCAAAGTTTCGCCCTTTTCATCTGGTTTTTCTGGATCTGAGCCTTTTGACGTTTCTTCAAGAGCTTTGCTCAATCCCAACATGTCCAGATGAGCCATGAACTTGTCTTTCCATAAAGTGTAATCCCCATTCCCGTCGAACTTCTCCATCTCTGTCTTTGACGAAGACATGACTCGGTCTGACTGAGTCACTAGCACCAGAACCTGGCTCTGATACCAATCTGTTGTGAAACTCAGCACAAAGGAAGCAACTTTATGCTTATAGTAACACGAACAAACCAAACTCTGACTGAGAAGCTTAAGTTCCAACACCAAGATTACGACTTTAAACAAGAAATGAAACAGAGTAAAGAGAAAAAGAAGAGATGAAAAACACACACGAGTTTTACGAGTTCACGCCCAAACCGGGTCGCTACGTCTTGCCGGGATCTTTCTCCCGGAATCCACTAGATCAATAGGTTACAAGAGTTTAGACACAATCCCGAGTTCCCTTTTTACAAAGGCTCACTCTCTGTTCTACTCTACCCCTTTTGTTATCCCGAGAAAGCCCTTACACAAGTTTACACTCTGTAAATAAAAGTTTCTCTATCACACTCTTTTTCTCAAAATGTCTCCCCTTTGCCTTTTATATCTGCACGATGATAAGACCTAGTTTTCCTCAAATGCACCACGACAAAAGACTTCTCCTTTGTTATTTGAAAACTTGAATCAGACGGGCCCATGTCCGAGACAAGACAAACAACTCATGCTTAGTCATTTAATGAGCTAAAGCAAAACGGCTACAAGAAAGTGGTCCTGCATTTTACTGATCCTGTGCTGACTGTTGGAGACAAAACAACTTCCTCTCCACGCTTAGTACTCTGTTGTTGTTGCTCTTCTTCATTTGTCTTGATCTTCAGTACTATATTTCAACAAATCTCCACCTAGTAGTGAACGATCAAGCCTGCAAAACAACACTAAACGAATTTCTTGAGAGTGAGAGATAGACTTCTCATTGAACTAGTTTACTGGATTCCAGATCCCGGATTCCTGAGTCTTATTACTCAGCCTTTACACGCAGTAAGTCCAGAGCTGCTTGGAGCTTACTTGCGGGTAAAATCTTGGTGAAGATATCAGCTGGATTCCTCAATGTTGATATCTTTAAAACCTCCACAATACCATCTGCAATTGTATCCCGAATCTTGTGGTACTTGACAGCGATGTGCTTAGTTCTCTCATGGAACACATTGTTCTTTGAAAGAGCTATGGCACTTTGGAAATCACAAAATATTTCAACACTTCCCTGTTTATAGCCAAAGTCTTCCAGTAATCCCTTAAGCCAAATAGCTTCTTTAACAGCTTCATTCAGAGACATATACTCGACCTCAGTAGTTGATAGAGCTACCACCTTCTGCAGAGTAGATCTCCAGCTGATTGTGTTTCCACCGAGAGTAAACACCATTCCACTAATGGACCTCCTCCTGTCGACGTCTGCAGCGAAATCAGAATCACAGTATCCCCTGATTACGAATTCTGACCTTTGCAGTAGCACAGCTTGTCTTTAGTGTCCCCTTGATGTATCTAAGCACCCACTTAACTCCCAGCCAGTGTCCCTTATAGGTTGCTCATAAACCGGCTGACTATCCCACAGGGTATGCCAAATCTGGTCTTGTGCCTATCATAGAGTACATGATGCTCCCAACAGCATTTGCATACGGAACACTCTTCATGTATTCCTCTTCTTCAACCAATTGCTTCTCTGTTGCTGCACACATCTTCAGATGAGCCCCGAGAGGTGTAATCACTTGCTTTGCTTCTCCCATCTTATACAAATCAAGAACTTTGCTCAAGTATCCTTCCTGGGACAGCTTCAGAACACCTTTTTCTCTGTCTCTTCTGATCTCCATGCCTAGTATTTTCTTGGCTGGTCCAAGATCCTTCATTTCGAACTTGATACTGAGTTGTTGCTTTAATTCTGAAATCACTCCTTTGTCTTTTGCAGCAACCAACATGTCATCAACATATATTAACAGATAGATCTTGGATCCATCCCCAAGCGTTTTTATGTACGCACAACTATCATGAGGACTCTTTTCAAAACCAATCTCTGTCATATAACCATCGAATTTCTGATTCCACTTCCTTGGCGCTTGTTTTAAACCATAGAGTGACTTGTTTAGTAGACACACCTGATTATCCTTGAACTTGTCCTTATAGCCTTCTGGAATCTCCATATAGATCTTTTCATCTAGTTCACCATGGAGAAACGCAATCTTTACGTCTAACTGTTCAAGTTCATAATCCTCTTCCACAACAATAGCAAGTAGTATCCTTATAGACACATGTTTCACCACTGGTGCAAAGATATCTGTGTAGTCCACTCCTTCCCTTTGAGCATATCCTTTTGCAACCAACCTCGCTTTGTATCTTGGTTCTTCTACTCCAGGAATTCCAGGCTTACGCTTGAAAATCCATTGCAGCCAATCACACGTGA